ACTCTGGCATTATACAAATTCTCCTTTTTCCTGGTTAATAAATATACCCTAAAATTTATCATGTAGCAAAATAGAGATGTACTGTTATTTACAAAATATTCAATAAGGAAGCTGAAGGCGCTATTTCTTCGTAAACTTCATATCCTCTCTTCACACACACAAGTGGCACTTTCAAGTACAAACCTCTTGTGTGCTTCTAAACGTTGTAACTTGAGCTACCTAAAGGTAGAATTCAGTGCATACAGAGCTAGAAAAATTCCAGCACCTTCATGCTCTACAGTCTCCCCACAGTGAGGAACCACTGAATTATTTCTCTTTGCTAGGAAATGATGAGTGTGAAACTCAGGAACTCACTGAATCCCATGCTGATAACTCTTGTTGTATTTACTGGTCTCTCCTAAGCAGTCATTGAAGGAGCACATGTCCAAGACTTGCACATATCATCTGTAGCATGATGAAGAACACTCATTTACTACTTTATGAACTGATTTCTTATGTGTTAGATGATGCACCAGTGTAATTCTGAAAATACATTACAGGGCTGCAGTAATTATAATGTTTTGTTCATTAGTCATTTAAGGAACCTGAATGTGCACAAATCCATGGGACCTGATGAAATACATCTGTGCATCCTGAGAGAACCAGCAACTGAAGTTGCTAAGCCACTATCCATCATATTGGAAAAATCATGACAGTCAGGTGAAGCTCCTGATGACTGGAAAAAAGGGAAATATAACCCCCATTTTCAAGAAGGGGAAAATGGAAGACCCGGGACAGTAAGTGTCTGTGGCTGGCAGGGTCACAGAGCAGATTCTCCTGGAAAGCATGCGAGGGCACATGAAAAACAACAAGGTGGCTGGCGACAGCCAACATGGCTTCACCAAGGGCAAATCCTGCCTGACCAATCTGGTGGCCTTCTACAATGGGGCTACAAAACTGACGGACAACAGCAGAGCAGTTATCATCTTCCTGGACTTGTTCAACACTGTCTCTAAACCAGAGAGACATAAATTTGATGGATGGATCAGCTGGCAGATGAAGAATTGGCTGGGTGACTGCACAGGAGACCTTATAGCAGCCTTCCAGTACCTGAAGGGGGCCTGCAAGGGTACCAGAGAGGGATTCTTCATCAGGGATTGTAGGCGATAGGACAAGGGGTAATGGATTTAAACTTAAAACAGGAGAAGTTCAGGTTAGACATAAGGAAGAAGTTCTTCACTGTGAGGGTGCTGAGGCACTGGAACAGGTTGCCCAAAGAAGTGGTAAATGCTCCATCCCTGACTGTGTTCAAGGCCAGGATGGAGAGAGCCTTGGGTGACATGGTTTAGGGTGAAGCTTCCCTGCCCATAGCAAGGAGGCTGGAACTAGATGATCATAAGGTCCTTTCCAAACCTAACCATTCTATGATTCTATGCTTTTTTAAAAGTCAAAATATGCACAATCTCCCAAGATACCCACATATGATGGTATATAATACAAATAACATTGTATGCTCTAATCCACATTTAGAAAAAGGTCGCTCCTTTACCTCTTTATTTCATCCAGATTTGGCTCACAGAGATTTTTTACACCAAATAAACTCCACTATATGTTCAATAGAAACAGACATATTAAAAAAAAATCTATTATAAGTGACCTTTTTGCCTTGTGTTCTCTCCCTTCAAAACCTATTTTTAAAATGGTGATGCAGTTCTTAAAGCATGTTCCAACTCCCCATTTCCAGTATTTTCAGTCTCCTAGGACAAGAAACCACACATCATTTCCACCACACTTCTGTGTAGACCAGCGTGTTGTTAACTCTGCCCAGTCACTTCAGTGCTTTATTACAAGTTCAGACTTTACCATGCAAGGCAGTTGCTGATGCTTTCCTATGTGATCATGTTGCAAATAGGAATATTTATTTTGGGCAAATTCAACAACAAAGCATTTTCCACTATATTAAGTTTTGCCACTGTGATAGGAACTAATGAACTTCAGAAAACACATGCAAAAAAAAGCACAAGTATGGAAAAAATACTGCTTCTGCATGTTAAAATGTTGGGTTTAGATGATCTTTAAGATTTTATTCTTTATGGATAAAATTTTCATCATCTACATGCATGACACAGAACCTTAATCTCACAGTAGTAACCAACAAGTAACTCTTCTTCTTAGATTTGTAAAAAAGTTTTTAGAAATCTATTTACAAGGGATCCTTGACACAGGACTTGCTAATTGACATCTATATACCTTTTCACATGTCTAAACATCATAAAAACTTTTTGCTCCTTGTCACACTCAAGGTATTCAGCACTACTATACCTTTCAAAAGCATCTTTAGTATTTAAATCTGGTTTAGATTTCTTATATTGGATGTTGCAAGAATTATTAAAATTCACACCACAAATACAATCTGCCTCTCATGTAGTATGACAAATGTCAAAAGACACTGCCAGAGAAAACCTGTTAATAAATTCAGCTCTAGGGACTCCAAGAACTTGGGGGATCCCCCAGAAACACAGCTAAATCCAATCATACTTGTATCTCCAATGAACTAGAAAAGTAAGCCCCCAGTGAAAGCACCCATTACTAATAAGTTTAAATAGGTGACAGGCCAAAAATGGTTAGTCAAATGACACACCAGCATTTCAGCTTAACCAACCATGAACCATTGCTCCAGCAGCCAGCAGTACAGAGCACAACATGGTTATCAGCTGCACAGACTATCTTGAGTTGGCATGTGTATTGATAGCGTTGCTATCTCAAGCTAGCCACAGCCCTTCAGGAATAGCTCTCATGCAAGTATTCTGGAATTAAAGCCATTTTAACATGGAGCAAGATCTGAATAGCCAAATTGAATCAGTGTAGTCAACAGCACAATGGTTTGTTCCCCGTCTCCCAATGAAATCCCAAAGGGTATGTAACTAATTTCTGCAAATTTCAGGTTCCTGGGTGGCTTTCAAGGTTAACCATGGTTACAAATAGCAATACTTTAACCTAGAAAGAATATAAAAAAGAAGAAGTCTGCAGCTGACACGAAGGATTAAATCCCTCAGTCTACCAGAGATAAAAAGGGAAACAAAATAAATTAAAAAATAAAAAATAAAAGAAATTCAAAAAAAAGGAGGGGCATATTTGGCTTCTGATAAACGTTTGGGAAGAATGATTTGTCAACCTTACAAGAACCACAAGATAGTATGTAGAACAGTCAGTTTATGCCAACAGCACAAGGTAACCAGAGAGACTCAGTACAGTGGAGATAAGAAATATTTAGAAAAGCTACTTAACAAGGAACAAGAGTTGATTTATGGCCTGAATGAAAGACTATCGAAAGTATTCTTCTTGATTTCAACAGGATTTAAATCAAGTTGAGCCTTTAGGGAAAAAATGCATAGATAAACCTTTTATTAACTGTTACAGCTTTACTAAAAGTGTCTGAATTAATATTAAGTTTACCTATGGCAAAAGAGCCTCAGCAAGAAGAATGTGCTGTCACTGCTTCTGCTAACACGCTGAATACAGCCACCATAACTGCCACCCAGAGCTCTTAAAGGAACAAGGAGCAAATGCACTCTTCAGAAATACAATGTTAAACCAAAGAAAACACTAAATATTGGGGGAGATGGAGGATATTTAGTTCAAATAAACAAAAAAAAAACAAAAAAAAAACAAAAAAAAAACATGAGCGGATTAATCTACATGTGTTTTGTTTAACTTTGTGTGAACTTATCTTTTAAAATGAATCTTTTATTAGTAATGTTACCAAACACAAGATTAACTAAATCCATTAACAGTAACATCAAATTCTTAATAGTATTTGAGTGATATGCAAAAAAAATTTAAAAATAAATAAAAATTTAAAAAAAAAAAAATAGACAAGCTGTAGTTATTTCCTTTGCAGTGCTTCCAAAGTATTCTAGTCCAATCTTTTGAGAGGACCTTAACACTCCAAATGTCCCATGTTACCAGTTCTAGATCACTTGCTACTAGTCATGAAAGAAACAACTCTACTTGGAGGCTTCAGAATCAAAATGACTGAACTGGTAATTAAAGTTATAATTTTATTCTTAAAAAACTTCTGACAACAGCTTGATTCAGATAAGCAAGAAATTACCAGGAAGCTTCCAATGCCCTTGTTTGCACTGCATTATGCTATCAGCAGTCAATATTAGCAACTACATTTTTATAAAGTATCTTTTACTAGCCAACTATAAATATCAATTTTTATAGTCACACTGTAAACAATCAAGTATGACTTCCTGTTCTAAGCTTAAAGTTATCATGATGTGAATCTCTACACTTCTGTACTACTTGATTACTACACTTGTGTAGAACACAAGAAAAGCACGTAAGTATGAGCTGAAGGAGAACACACTTAAAGGTTTTAATCATTGCACCCTAAATTTATAAACATGGCTCTGAGGTCTATTGTTAACTACTGGAGTCCTTAAGAGCACAAAATTCCCCTTTAATTGGGATCTTCACATACCTGCCAGTAAGCATTTGCAAACTCCTGTTCCTGGGGAACAACACCACAAGCAGTACCCAAGATTTACATGATTGCTTTAATGTTCTGTATCATCCCTTCACAGAGTGAACTGTAAGCTTCTCATACTAAGACTGCTGGTGATTCTTTACCATGTTACTATGACACAATAAGTAAAAATTTCAGAACTGGGAAACTCCCAATGTTGTGGAATTTAATTTAAAATACTACAATTTTATTATGAAATAAGAAGATTAAATATTTGATGATTTCCTTTTGGGAGTGTGTTCAGGTGAAATGCCTCCGAAATGTCTTTTGGCCTTTCCTTTATTTCAAACATATTGACTGTTTCTAAACATGAAGGAATTCAAAACTTGCTTTCAGAGACTACTACGAAAGATAATTTAAATTAGTATTACAGTATACATGCTACATATGGTAAAAGAAAGACAAATCTTATTTTAAACTTCTTCAGAATTAAATTACCTAATACACATAAACAAGAATAACATCAGACTAGGTAATATGTTCTCACCTTTCTGTTTTTGATTCATCGTCAGCTCGATAGTGCTCAAGGTCTTGGTAAAGAGACTGCAATTCTGCTTGAAGTCCTTTTTCCCGTTCTATACTTCCTTCATAAAATTTAATCTCCTTTTCCATTGCTTTTACTTTTTCTTCCATCACCCTAAATTCATGAAGTATCAAATAGCTGACTCCACAGTATTTACATACTGTCTCATCCCGGGACATCTAGAAAGAGATAAAATTATAAGACTGTTAGTAAGAAAAGTTGAACTAAAAGGCCAACCTGAATGACACTAAATAATAATAATAAATCTGAATAATTTAAACCATTTACTGCTCTGGAGCATTTATGTTCAGATGATGCTACTGCTTTAACATAAAAAAAAAATACAAATTTTAAACTGAATTCTGAACTGAAGTACCTCTGAATTATGTCTGATGTATTAAAATAAAATGCTATGTTTTACAAAATTATCTCCTTAATGAATTTGTGATTGCCTGAGCCAGAAAATGTTATTTACTGTGGCTTTTTGACAAGTCATATCCAACTTAAGTAGGCAAGATGAGAAGTGGAAAGTAAATTACATAATCCAGCAATCTTTACAAAAATAATTCAAATGAGTAAGGGACTAATTACTATGAAGTAGTGCCCATGTCCTTGAGTGTTGGGGAAAATGTAACCCATTTACTAGGTATGAAGTAATCAAACACTAAAAAAACACACAGAGTACATAATATACATCTAATTGAAAGACCTTTTCTTAAATTGAGAAACATACTTTTGTAAGTGATCAAATTATTAAGCTTTGCAGTAAGGCTTCATAAATACAAACAGATACACATGCTCTGACTTTGACACACATGTTATTCAATGTATCAGTTATTCCTAATCATTTTAATCATTTTCACTTCCAGAAAAAAATGCTCAATTTACAAGTGATGCAGAATTGAACCTGCAGAAGAAATGGGTATAGAGTAAATAAATCAGCCACGCCGAGCCAAGAAGGTCTGACACTTCAGTAGGGGGCATGGAAGCACCTGCATACCAGCACAAATCACTGTTTCCTGAGCGTAACAGGTCCTATCCTGTTCTTGTGTCACAGCATAAATGCATTTCAGATGGATAGAATTAAGACTAGATCAGAGGAGACTCATAATATAGCTAAAGAAACAACCTCAAAGCAAGAAATATAAAAAGGTATTGGTAAGCTTGGAGATGTGAAAGATGGAAAATGGGTGGCAGCTGAAAGAGCAGTTGTGTGTTTGTGTATTGAGAGATTAAAACAACCTTTAACCTTTCTTGCAATTATCAATTGTTTACAGGATTTTGCATAATGGCTTATGAAAATCAGAAAGCTGGAAAACTGCAAGCAGTTTAAGTCAAAGAATGTAACAATTCCTTGTTTTACAGGAAAAGAAAAAAAAAGACATTTTGAGACATTGGGATAAACTGAACGGAATCAGATGACAGAAAACAGCTTTCAAAAATTATAAACTACAGACTCATGATCTCATGATTCAAATACAGCTTGATAAAAATGGTATTTCAGGATGCCCTGGAATTACCAGGCCAAGCTTTATTTAATCTCAATTCTCATTTCTTAGGTTTGCCCCAGTTTAAAATACCCCTAGTTACAGTTGCTGTGAATGAGCTGAAAATGCAAGTTTATTTTTCCTGGCAGCGGCAAACTGTGCTTGGAAATATGAAACTGTTATTCAGGATAACTACCATAAAGTTCCAAAGCCTTAAAATTACTATATTGAAAAAGGACAAAATGAGCTGCTACAAGGAGCACAGGAGGGGGGCTCTTATCCCAAAAAGAACATTGTGCTCTCATGCAGCACGACCACTGCTGTCTTTCAAATAAACAGTTACAGAAATTTCACTGGGTACAAGGATTAAAATCAAAATAAAACAATTGGGGTCCTACGCTGAAAATGTTCTATGCAAATAGTAACAGTTTTTAGTTTCCAAGTTCAATTTTGTTATTGAACTTAAAAATAAATGAAGTCATACAACAATAAACACTATCTCTCTGGACATAGTAAGAAATGGGTCTCGCTCTTCTTCACTTTCATTCCTCGGGTGAAATAAAAACTTGAAAGGATTTCAGATCAGGTTGGATTTTTAAAGTATTTGCTACATTGCTAAAAAAACACAGGAAAGCCAGAGGCCTTATATTATAGCAATAAAGAAACAAGTTCTGTCTTTTAATCAGAACCTTGCTTCTGTACACGCACAATTACCCTGCAACCACTGCAATATACTGTATATAGATTGATCTAGTTTTAAAAGATTTATCTGTAGTGTAAATTAGCAGTTTCCTAATACCAGTATACAAACTTGGCATGGGTTGTGTGATACTTAAAAGGCAAGCTAGGCCAAACTAAATTCCATGCTACAGAACATTAACACCAATAAGCAAGCCAACTAATTTAAATCCATGTATGCCCAAAATGCCCAGAAAAATAATAGGATGCAGGTGAAAGTGAATAGCTCCAAAAGAGCAAAGCCTGAACTGGTGAGAGCAAGAGGTGTACACTAATATGAATTCTTATCCTAAATCCAAGATTCCTCTCTCATGCGCACAGTGGTCAAACCACAAGCAGGACTTTCTCCTTTATCTATTTCTATTTCTCCTCTTCTTAGCATTGTCAAAATCACAACCTGAGTTCTCCTTGCTGATGCTCAAAATACCTCCTGAAATTCCTAAGCTGGCTGGATATTTTTTTCAGAAGCTACTGCAGTTTCACACAGACAGGTACAGAGAAATGCTGTCAAGCTGTAGATGCCAATTCCATTCAGCCAAAATGCTGACAAAGCTATCTTAGGGCTACACCAATTTTAAGATCAGAGCCAGAAAGTATTCTATAGCTTTGAAGACTACTTAAAACCAAAACATTTTAGGTTTTTGCACAGTTTCCAAGAGAAAAAACATTATCTATATGCGTATTTCTCTATTGTCACCTTTTTTTTTGTGAACCAGAATGTCTGATCATTTATAACCAATTCTGACTGTGAGGGCAGAAATATTTAAGTGTCTGAAAGTTTTTGGAAGACAACCTACCTGGTTGTCTAAGTTCCCCACTGAAGAAAACTCTGGAGTGTGAGGGTAGCCCTTTTCAGATATCAGATAATCCATAAAGGAAGAGAGATTTATAGAGAAAAGAGTCCATTAGACCTTGTATCTTACAAGGTCTAATGGAATGATTAACCAATACACAACTATTACACAAAAATCTGTAGGAAACAAACCTGCATTAGTTCTTTTGCTTACAAGGCTACCTTTTCTGGAATAATATTACTTTTGAGTAAACATGAAGAATGTGCGTTACATACACAATGATTTACATTCTCAGATTCTATATTTTACTATTTACATTTTATCAGAAGACTGTTTTCACCTTCTCAAACTCGAAGTTGACATGGACAGTGGGATTGAGTGCGCCCTCAGCAGGTTTGCCGATGAAACCAAGCTGTGTGGTTCAGTTGATACACTGGAGGGAAGGAATGCCATCCAAAGGGACCTTGACACGCTTGTGAGGTGGGCTGATGCCAACCTCATGAAGTTTAACCATGCCAAATGCAAGGTCCTGCACCTGGGTCGGAGCAATCCCAGGCACAGCTACAGGTTGGGCAAAGAAGAGATTCAGAGCAGCCCTGCTGAACATGAGCTGGCTTCAGTGTGGGCTTGCAGCCCAGAAAGCCAACTGTATCCTGGGCTGCATTAAAAGGAGCATGACCAGCAGGTCGACAGAGGTGATCCTGCCCCTCTACTCTGCTCTTGTGAGACCTCACCTGGAGTATTGTGTGCAGTTCTGGTGTCCTCAACATAAGAAGGACATGGAACTGTTGGAACAAGTCCAGAGAAGGGCCACAAGGATGATCAGGGGACTGGAGCACCTCCTGTATGAAGACAGGCTGAGGAAGTTGGGGCTGTTCAGTCTGGAGAAGAGAAGGCTGCGTGGAAACCTCATAGCAGCCTTCCAGTATCTGAAGGGGGCCTATAGGGATGCTGGGGAGGGATTCTTCATTAGAGACTGTAGTGATAGGACAAGGGGTAACGGGTTAAAACTTAAACAGGGGAAGTTTAGACTGGATATAAGGAGGAAATTCTTTCCTGTAAGGGTGGTGAGGCACTGGAATAGGTTGCCCAGGGAGGTTGTGAATGCTCCATCCCTGGAAGTGTTCAAGGCCAGGTTGGACAAGGCCTTGGGTGATATGATTTAGCGTTAGGTGTCCCTGGCCACAGCAGGGGGTTTGGAACTAGATGATCTTAAGGTCCTTTCCAACCCTAATGATTCTATGATTCTATGAAGTAGGGAAAAGAAAAATATAATCAGGGGCAAAGCACAGTTTGGTAAGAATAGAAACAGAAACTGTGAGAGCTCTAATTATAAAATGGAATCTGTATGTCCTTAGCAGTGAGAACAAGCAGTGAATAGAAAGGAAAAAAAAAAAATCAATTAGGAATTCAAAAAACAAACATAAGTTAATTTTAGTATTGTGCTTTTGGTCAGGCTGGACAGCGAAATTCAGAACAAACAGGACTTGAAAAGGGAACAGAGGGATACTAAAAACCCCTGCTATTTGAGTTAGCAAGATAGTACTGCATGCACAGTAACAACATGAAACCAAAACCAAACTCATAAGGATAAAGTGTTTGGACTAGGAAGATATTTGATCCATAAGGTTTTGAGCTACAGTTCTGATACACATTACACCAGATGCTATAAAGAAAGGACAAGAGCTACGGCCAAAACAAGCTGTATCACAAGGTAGCATTTCTAGTTGTTCCACTAGAACATCTCTGGGAGTAGTTTCAACTCAAGAGCTGCGTCTGATTTTGGAAGAACTACCATTATTCCATGGTTACATAGATTTCTTTAGCTACCAAGGGCAATTGCAGAATTGAGCCAAGATGGAAGTCACTCAAATTACATCTGTCTGACTCAATACTGTAAGTATCTGTAGAGCAAAAGCCATAAGGAATAAAATAAAAAATAAAAGTTACTTTGATGGTCTGGACCAGTTTTAGACTTTTGACTGTCACGACAGGAATTTTTATCCGTTCAACTTGACCACATAACTACAGGATACATCAGTCTGTGCATGGCTACTCTTCTACTCTGATATCCCAGATTCCACCCATGAAAATTACCATGATAAAGAGCTAAATTCTTGTTAAAAGGAAAATTATCCACTTTCTCACTTAGCAGTGCCTTGGAAATACAACATCCCACATATGAATCACTTATGCTAGAAACAGTCCATTACAAGCAGCTAATAAATAGCCGTGACTCTTAAAAGCCAGTCCTCAATTAATGAGATTCTTTAAAAAAGCTTTAAATACATTTCTGTGCACCTAAAATAAAAACACAGAGCCATGAGCACAGATGTACTCCTTGTACATTAATTTTACGGCGCAGGGAAGGGAGAGTCTAGGGCAACTGCAGCACTCACCATTCCACTTGCATGACCAAGCACTCCGCAGGCACATAAACCAGTAGTAACAGCTCTTCTCTTTCCCCAGTCAGTCTGTCAGGACTGAGACTGATTTAGCAAGGACTGGCCAAATAACAAAAAAACAAACCACACTTGTAGAAGAACAATACATAAAATTCAGGGGGGAAAAAAATCATTATGCTGCAGCTGGGTGCTCTTAAAATTATTCCTGAATATTGATTGTTTTATTCTATCTCTACTTGATTCTACCTTATTATTGGAATCTACTTTACTTTTTATTTTTCTGAATCTAGTTTTCTGTTTTACTCCTCCTCTCCCATACTACTTTGATTTCTCTCATGCTGTTTGTCCTTCTCCTGACAAACCAGCCAATCCCTATTACACACACACACACACACACACACAGAAGTCATTACTCAAACCACACAACTGATTTTCTAGGAAGAAAGTGGAGTCTTCTGCTGCATATGCAAAACCAAAGAGGCATTTGATTGAGATTGATCTTTTTCTGTTCAATGATTTCTGAGAATCTCAATAGAAACTTCACTTCTTTAAAAGTTTATTGTGAGCTGAATTTTCAGTCAGCATCTACTCAGAAGGTAATACAAATTGGATGCTAAGCCATGCTTCAAACATACTTATTTGTTCCACTTCCATAAAATATTAGTTGCAAAATAAAAGTCACAGTACTTGCTTTGCATACATATGTATAGCGTAGAAATAGGCTTGTAGTAAAAACTGAATATCCTGCTCTCAAAAGTCTCATTCAGAACATGCTCTGAAATAATCAGTTTGTAATTAAAGGAAGCAATAATTGGATTTCAGGTAGCTTTAATTTTTTCCTGCCTGTGAGTAAAGCAGACTAATGAATCATAAATGCACTATACTGCACTGTTCATAACTGCACACATTCACACAAGCCCTGCAAATATCCAACACGTGTCCAACAGCACGGACCTTACAGGGGCTCCTAAACGCATTCAGGATGTGTTACAGCACACTCCAGCAATCTACGCAATGCATGGCATTGCAACAAAACGTGATACTTGTGCAGACAAAAGATAATTTAGCCCACTGTTAATCATTCTTTGCCTGACAAATACTGAGTTTTTGCATCTGTAGTTGCAGCAGTTGTGGAGCCCCTCCTAGCTACAACCCAATTGCATGTGATGTAAGAGTTACTGCAATCCCTCCAATTCCTAGCAACTTACTTGGACGCTGATTGCAAAGAGGGTAGAAAAGCTTAAATGTAGCGAATACAGCCCTAGCCTTATAAGTATACCAACAGATAAAAATGCTTTGCTGCCCTACGTGACCATGAGGGACTCCAGAGTTCCTACACTAAGAACAGAAGATTGTTATCCAAGTTCAGAAGATGTGCTTTCACAAATCACCTAATACCTCAATACACAGTGGTAACAAAGCAGGCTACCTTTAGTATCTGAGAGCTGGTTTTCGCAAATCAACTATGGGGTCATGGGTATAAAGTTCACAGCTGAGAGCAGCTCTTTAGGCTGTAACGTGGGCTTATACCAAAAATAAGCAGATACTTTCTAACATTTTCAAAGCACATTACAGTCACTCAGAACGTTCACATCCTTGGAGCCTGACATCCCAATAAAACCCAAATGTAAAAATAATTAAAGCCAAATACTGAAAATCTCAGTGGACACAGCAGCAACTCATGAACATCTTCTCCAGAAGCATTCATAAGGTGCATGACAACAGGCCTCTGAAGAGACATCCTGCAATTCCATAGGCATACTACCATGCTCATTTGCAGGGCACAAATGGAAATGCTGCTGTTTCTAAATCCATATTGATACCAGCATTTAAGTACTATGTATGCAAATATTTCATTTGCTTCTACAAAGCCAGTCTTAGTGGATGGGACAGATTCCTTAGCTAATTAATGCAACTGGAACTATGTAAGAACCTATAAAATAAAATAACCCCAGTTCAAAGACAGCAAGAAAAATTGAAGATAATGTGCTCATAAAGATACTATAATATGCCCAATCTATAGTACACATGGCAAATCTATTAAGTAACTATTTGCTACTAGTAACGCTCATGTTTTGCAGATAGCTGGGTATCACAGAACGTTCTGTACCAATGTGTAATACAGCTTAAAAATTCCTGTTCTGCTTCCTTTCTTAAGCGCCTAGTGTGAGAACTACTGATCTGTAAGGGTATCTTCTGCTCAATTAATTTTATGATTCATGTTAAACAAAGGTTATTTATTTGCCAAATAAAAAGTAATACAACTTTTATTGTTTATAGTTGTTTATTAAAAACAACTTTTTGTTTGCTGCTTTGAGGACTCAGGGTCATTTTACTGTTGTTCTGTTTCCCATTTCAGTAAGATCTTCAGGACAAGACTCCATATTTCCATCTATTTATACTGAATGGGCAACAACAATGCTGAAACAAACACAGAACTACAGTAAGTTCACAAGCATGTAACAGATTCATCTACCACTACCAACAAACAACTAAGAATGTGATAGTCTTCTTTCCTTTTTAAGAATAATAAACCAACAACAAACCAAAAATACACACATGAAAATGCCGCACAACAAAATACACATGCAGCCACTGAAGTAAAGGAAACACTAACTTCTTTTTTACATTCCCGTGCTCTGTGATACTTCTCAGAAAGAAGTTTGATGGCATAAATTTTAAGACATTCAAATACATGAAAAAGTAGCCATTACAAGTGATCTCTGCAAAGTGTTTTCTACAGTCCTGTGACAATATAGTTAAGAGAAAATGCAGGGTTCTACTGAGACAAACCAACCAACTTAGTTGAAACGCTTGCTACTTGGCACACCAAATCTGCAAGCATCACCTCTCAGATACAAGTGTCCCTAAAATAAGGCTAAGAGGTAGAGAATACCCTCCCCAAAAACCGTCACAGAAGAGAAGCTATGGCTTGGACTTCATTTAGACAGTTTTCTAACTGACTGGGTTCTCTCTTTCCTACGAAGTTACTGATTTTCCCATGTCTGCTGCCAGAACAGCAGTGGCTGTTCCCCATATTTGCTATCACCACCACACCATGAGGCATAGCTTCCTCTGGGAAAAATTACTCCTGCTGACTTTGAACACTGACAGACATTGCTCAGTGAGGTAACCACACTGCTAACATGCAAAGCCACAACTCAGGAGGGTTACGTTTGTTTTTTTAAGAAGCAAATCATGATTGAGATCTTTACTCATAGCTAGTTTCTAAGAAGTATGCAACTATAAGTACAAAATAACACTATAAGCTTTACTATTTTAACAGACATATGGATGTTTATCCATTTGGTTTTGGTTTTTGTTTTTTTCATTAGCAGTCATCTTGCAATGCGTATTGTGTGAAAGAGGTATGAGAGTGATAGAAGGAATGAGAGAGAGAAAATCAGGGCCATGTAAAATTCTTACATGACTCTTTAAGGGAAAATTGATCAGAACATTAAGAACCAAGGTCCCAACACATCTATCATATTATTAACAAAATATCAAGAAATATATTCCCTTCTACATTAAAATTTTCTTTAAAATTTTATAAGCATAGTGGCATCACCTACTGGACCCAGTCACCAAATGGTCACTTTGTATCAACTTTTGCCATGATATTATGGCTTCACTCCAACAGGTTGTCTCACAGACTCTAGCAGTAGAACAGTCTGCAGAATACGCTGTTCCAGGTTGGCACAAGATGCTCTCTTCCCCATACTACCCTCTACAAGAGCAGTTTTGGAGGTTGCTATGTCACTGTTGCAAATATTGATAAGCAGCTTGGGAAGCTCCATCCACTAGGAGCGTAAAGGAGAAGAACGAAGAGAGCTCTGGTCTGCATCCTCTCTTTCGAGAGAGCTGCTTGATCTGTTGTCAGCACTACACCCCAACCTCCTGCAAACCAACCCAAAACAGCAAGTGAATACTCTGCAGCTGCAATCACAATGCTTAACATACTCTCTCCAGACACACATGTTCCTTTGGCCTGCAAGCTGCATGTTGGGAGCATGTGCTTGGTTTGGCAAAGCAACGTACAGCTGGCACAAGTTCTACTTATGTTCGTAGCAATTTAAAGCTAAGATTCCAAGAGAGATGTTATAAAATCCAAGAAGCAGGGAATGTGGAGGGAGTAAGAACATGTGTACATAAAAGGTAGAAAATACAAGGACAGGAAATTGTGAGAATGACTTGTATCAAGCTCTGTATCTTGTAACTATACTACAACTACAACGCAAGTCAGCTGAGTGAAGAGACAAGGAGCAGCAAAGGATATGTTAAACCCCAACACTTAACTGATCCCAAAATCCAGTAACTGTCATTGCCTTCCAGCTCGCATATCCCACATTGAGGTAAGGGCAGAATGGGTCAGGGACAGCTTATTCATGTACATAGCTAGAAATACTGTGTCTTCTGCATTCAGATTTTTTTGTTAAACATGTACTGTAGAACTGGAAGAGATCTGAAGAGATTGCCTGCCCCAGTCTCCGACTCCAAAGCAAAAAGTCTGCCTTACTCATCCCCCACATCACCACTGGAAGAATTCCACAACTCCCCTGGGTGATTTGCTCTACAGTTTCATAATATTAAAGCAAAGCAAGCCCAGAAAGGTGAGGATGAGATTAATTTGCAGATGGAGATGAAGGACAACCACCATTTTCCTACACATATGAATATTGTTACTGTGCCCTTAAGTATTTTCCAGAATAAGTACACTCAGTTCTACTATTCTTTCCTAGAAGGACAGGATTTTTAACCTCTACTGTTCTTGCTATTTTCTAAACTTTGGTCAGTCATGTTATTTTTCTTAAAGCCTGCAGCTCAGAACCAATACCTCAACAGCTCTGAAGAATAAGTAAGGCCCATGTTTCACATGCAACGCCCATACTAATAAACTTAATGGCTGCTTTCTTTTTGTAACATCTCTTTGTTAAAGTTATTCTGCTTATGACCTGATTATAGACCTCAGTGTAAGGCTTGACAAGTGGACAAGGAAGCTGAATCAGTATGTATTTTGTGTTGATACATTGGACTTACTCTTTCCAAATATGCCTTATTCTTACTAAGAATATGAAGTTTAATGCTGTTCCCAGATTGCCCACAACCCCTCCCAGACTGGCATCAGTGTATTCCTTATGGTAATCTAACATGCTAGCTCAATGAAAAACAGCAGAGACTGACAATCCTACTGAGAGAAATAATGTCACCCCTTTTCTGTTCCCACTTTGTGCCTGCACTCACATCTGCTTCCTCCCTGTGCTAGCACACGTATAGCACACAGATCAGGAACTCTTATCAGGAACTAATACAACTGAAAGACAAACAGGTGAGGTGCCACCAAACTACAGCCTTAAGTCACTCATGGAAATACTGAGCAGTACTAGATCCAGAATAATTCCCTGATGTACTTCACATGCACTTCATCCAACGACTTGGCACAATGTTTTGGTTTTTTGTTTTCCTTTATTTAGAAGTTTGCACTGATTTTTGCTAACCACCTTATCCTGTTGATGCCTGCAAACTCATTTCTAAATAAACAAACATATCTGGTGTCTTTCCTGCTACCAAAACAGCTGCTAGTGAGTCTGTAAGTTTCCCAGGCTCTTCTCCTCCCCTTTTTTAAGGGCAAGCATTCCTTTTCCTTTCCTTTGGCTATCTTACCTATCCCTGAATTCTCAGAAACCATCACTGATGGCTAAAAAACTTTCTCAAGTTTCCTGGACTATTCCAGGGAGAATTTATCCAGGCTGTGCTAGCCTGAATACATAAAGCTTTTAAATTACTTGCTAATTATTAGATGCCTACCAAAAATTGAGGACAACTGGGTGTAAAAACTTCATAGTGTTACAAAAAGTGACTCATGTTCCACTTGTGTGCATCATGTGGCATTTAAAGAGCCTCCTCATAAGCTACCCCACATAAATAGCAGCATTGTTAACATTGATAATAATCCATCTCCCAAACAAAGCAACACCCTCACACACAAAGAGAAGATACAAGAAAATAAGAAGGGGAATGTCCCTTCCTATCTGTATTGACACTGCTTTGGAACAATTACACGTTATGCTTTTCAGTCATTCCAAACTTAGGGCAACAAAACATGTCACATGGGGTAAAATTTGAAACTCACATACCAGTGACAACGCCATTACAAAATGAGCACGTTCCTCTACAGTGTTCATAGAGTCATAGAACAGTTAAGGTTGGAAAGGACTTTAAGATTATCTAGTTCCAACCCCCTTGCCATGAGGTTGTCATTAGTGTGTAAAATATATATTCATATAAATTCATTTATGTTCATATTAAAGTAGTACAGCCTGGAAAAGAGAAGGCTCCAGGGAGAACTTGCAGCAGCCTCCCAGTACTTGAAAGGACCGACAAGAAAAATGGAGAGGGACTTTTTACAAGGACCAGTAGGGACAGGACAAGGGGGAATTACTTTAAACTGACAGAGATGAGACTGAGATTAGATATTAGGAAGAAGTTCTTCACTCTGAGGGTGGCGGGACACTGACAGAGATTGCCCAGAGAAGCTGTGACTGTCACATCCCTGGCAATGTTCAAGGCCAGGCTGGACGGGGCTTGGAGCAACCTGCTCTGGCGGAAGCTGTCCCTGCCTGTGGCAAGAACTAGGTGATCTTTAAGGTCCCTTCCAACCAAAACACATGAACATTTGTCATATGTAACAAAACCTAGAACACACCCAATCTAAAACAAGGAGCAAGATGTATGAGATATGGTACTGGAATTCAAAGGCCGGTAAAATAGTCCTGAATCACTGGCTTATGTGGTCTCCAAACACCGTTTTGTTTTTCATACTGCCACTGTTTCATACCTTGCGAATTTCCTCAGGCAGCATGTAAATGGGGACGTGCCGCTCCATATCCTCCCAAAACTCGGCAGTGGTGTCAGGGAAGCTGCCGGAGGTCACACAGTTAGAGCCTGCCCTCAACAGCGGGGCCGCACGTCTCCTCTGCCCCACACACCCACGCTACACGGGGCTCAGGCCAGTCCCCAGTGGCCTCCCCACTCCCGCACCGTCTTCTCAGAGCAGACTGGGAAGCAGCCGCTGCGCGCAGGCCACGGCGGGGAAAAGAGAGAGGAGGGAACGACGACCCTCCCTGGGGCACGGCAGTGCGGAGCCCCAAGGCCCGGGACAGCCAAAGGGAAGCGGGGACAGGGGAAAGCGGCCGAGCGGCCATTTTCTTACCGCGGCTTCCTCCGTCACCACGGCAACGGCGCGCGGTGGCTTGTGGCGGGGGTGAGAGCTCCTCCCCAGCGCCCGGGCACAACTGACCGGCCCGAGGGGCAGTTAATAACGGGGAACAGGAGGAGCTGCGCTGCCGGAGCTGGAGCTGGCTATTAAGGGGGAGGAAACCGGCGTAAACGCCGATGTTGTTTCACTGCAAAGCCTTTGTTTCATGTGAGCTGTCATCCCAAAACCGGCCCTCACGCCCAGGTCAGTTACGTGACAAAATGTGCTCAACCTCTGCATGAAGTGGGTTTGCACTGTCAGAAAACAAAAAAAAAAAAAAAAGAAAAAGGGGGGGAGGTGGCCTGGGGGTCCTGGTGGACACAGGCTCAATAGAAGTGAAGAGTGTGGAGCTGTGGCAAAGAAAGCCAGCAGAATGCTGAGTCACATCAGCCAAGGCATCACCAGCAAAGATAGAGATGTTATTGTCCTACTCCATTCAGCGCTTGTCAGGCCACAGCTGGAATACTGTGTTCAGTTTTGGTGCCTGTTATCCAGAAAAGATGTGGACAAGCTGGAGAGGGTCTAGAGAAAGGCCACAGAGATGATCCAAGGACTGGAAAGCTGTGTGATGAAAGACTCAGAGAGCTCGGATTGTTCAGCCTTGAGAAAAAGTGGCTCAGGGGAGACCTTATTACCATGTTCCAGTATTGAAAGGGTGGCTACAAGGAAGACAGAGACTCCCTTTTTACAAGGAGTTACGTGGAAAAGACGAGAGGTAATGGGCACAAGTTAATCCTGGGGAGAGTCCAGTTGGACACAGGAGGAAAATTTTTTAACAATGAGAACAATCAGCCATTGGAATAATGTCCCCAGGGGCATGGTAGATTCCCTAGCACTGGACACGTCTAAGATTTGGCTGGACAGGGTGCTGGGACATCTAATCTAGGTCATGCGTTGCCTAGAAAGGTTGGACCAGATGATCCTTGAGGTCCCTTCCAGTATGAGTTCTATGATTCTATGACTTACTGAAATCCACTTGGGTTCACAGCAACACAATAAAAATAAATTAGGAAAAGATATGACAATCGGGAGTTTTCAGTATAACCCTGTTTCAATGGAATTCTTTTCACATTCTACCCTCCCCTCCTTTTCATCGCTGATTATTTTACATACAGCCCCTTCAAAGCAGGCCAAAAAATTGAGCTGCTGTTTTGAGACTCAGGCTTTCCTGCATCCCATCAGCATTTTTTCAGCAGCCATTTGCTCCATCCCCATGCTCCCCAGCACACTTGGGTTTCTCCATCTGAACCTGATGCAGACTTTTGATGCTGTGGATGAGAGGCCATGAGTGCAGTTGGGCTGCTCACCAGAGCTGATTTCCTATATGCCCAAAGCATTTCCTACGTATCCAAAGCATTTTCTGTATGCCAAAGCAATCCTGACATGCCCAAAGCATTCCCTACAAGCCTTATACGGAAAGCTAGCATCCCCCCCCCCCCCCCACCCCCCCAAGAAAATAATTAAGCAACAGCCACTAAAAACTGTAAAGAGGCCACCATGAAAAATGAGGCTACTTTCCACCAGCCTTGCTAACCTGATTTAATTTATGCACAACTCGCTCTTTGCTGCAAAGGTTCAGTCTCTGGGGCAGCATCAATAATGTTTCTTGGAGCAGTGCTGTGCAGCTGAGCAGAGGGGGGAAGAGCTTGCTATTTGAGAAGACAGTGAATTTTATTGGAAAAAAAGAAAAATGGGGGTGTTGGTTGACAAGAAGCTCAACATGACCTGTTGTGCAGTGTGTGCCTGCAGCCCAGAAAGCCAACTGTGTCCTGGCCTGTATCACCAGCAGCAGGACCAGCAGGTCAACAGAGGGGATTCTCCCCCTCTACTCCACTCTTGTGAGACCCCACCTGGAGCACAGCATCCAACTCTGAAACCCCCAACACGGACATGGACCTGTGGGAGTGAGTCCAGAGGAGGTAGATGATGCTCAAAGGCCTCGAGCACCTCTCCTATGGAGACAGGCTGAGAGAGCTGGGGTTTTTCAGCCTGGATAAGAGAAGGCTCCAAGGAGACCTTATAGCAGCTTCCCCGTGCCTAAAGAGGCCGACAAGAAATCTAGAAAGGGAGTTCTTACAAGGGCATGTAATGTCAGGACAAGGGGGAATGGCTTTAAAACTGAGAGAGGGGAGATTCAGATTAGATATTAGGAAGAAATTCATTATTGTGAGGGTGATGAGGCAGAAGTTGCCCAGAGCAGCTGTGGCTGCCCCATCCCTGACAGCGTTCAAGGCCAGGTTGGACTGAGCTTGGAGCACCCTGATCTAGTGGAAGGTGTCCCTGCCCATGGCAGGGAGGTTGGAACTGAATGAGCTTTAAGGTCCCTTCCAACCCCAACAATTCTGTGATTCGATGAAAACTGCATGAGCAAGAGCCGGGGGGTGCGGGGTGCCGGGCAAGGGAAAGAACCAGGCACGCGGTGCTCCCCGTCACCCCCCGTCTCTGCAGCACGGTCCCACGAGTGACTGCCTTCCCCCACCCCGCCCTCGCGTGTGTTGCCGTCGTGACCCGCTCCACCTTGCGTGCCGGCCTCCGTGCTGCGCTGCATCCTTAATCCCCGGGTTGGCAGCAACCGGAGCCGCATGCCCCAGCCCCCCCCCCCCCTCATTTAACCTTTTCCTGATCCCACGCGTGTGAAGGGCCGCTCGCCCCCCGCAGAGGCACTTAATTAAGAGCGACGTTAACAGCGAGACTGGGAAGGCAGCGGCTTTGATCGGCTGGAGAGCTGGGGGCGGGGGGAGAGGGGGCGCTCGGCCGCGCCTTGCCGGCATATGTTCTCCCTGCGTGATGGCGGCGGCGGCAGCGGGGGGTGGCGGGCCGTGCGCCCAGCGCCTCTCACGCGATGGCCGCCTATCGTGCCGGGGAAGGGTGTCGTGCGGCGCGGCGGTGAGATCAGCGCGGATCTCCGCGGCGGGGGCGGGGAGGAGCGGCAGTCACGCAGCGGCGGGAAAGGCGGTGGAGTAGTGACTGATCCCCCCTTGGCCCCGGCGGCTCCCGCTGAGGGTATCCAGTCCTGGGGTTGGGAGACCGTGTCCAGGGGGGTTAACGGGAGCCTGTCCTGGGGGTACTTTTCTTTGTCCTTTTTATGCAAGCATGTCAAAAGCATGGGGATTGGAACTAGATGAGCTGTAAGGTCCCTTCCAACCCAAACCGTTCTGCGATTCTGTGGCTGAAGAGAGCCTGTGCTAGGGGTGCTGATGCCCTGGTGGGAAGCACGGTGCAGAAGTTGCTCAGGCCATGCTCTGCTCTGAAGTGGCTCTTTCACACCTGCAGGAAGCCCACACAGGATCCACACTCTTTCATGGGCCCTCCACCCCATCCATGCATCCGGGTGGCCTAGGACTCCAGTGGGTTGAGGGGGGGTCTGCCTGCCCCTGCCCGGTTGCAGGGAGGCCAGCGGCGGTCCAGCCGTGCCTCACGGTGTGGTGTGGCGGCAGGCCTGCGTGCGTGCCAGACTCAGTGACCGGGACCGCTCGAGATCAGGTTCCCGGCAGTGTGAGCAGCTCCAAGGACAAACGAACAGACAAGAAATGAGTGCGTGACACGCAGCAGTCATGAGCCAGCTATTTCCATTGTTTTCTGGCAGGCTTTGTACCTTCTCAGACACACGTGGGAAGCCTCCCGCTGCTTAGAAATCCCAGCCCCCGGGAGCAAAGTCCATGCCCAGTGTGCAGCTATGGAAAAAGGCTAATAAACACAAACACTCTCTTCCCACAAAGCAGGAGCACCCGGGGTGTGTCTGTAAGGGTGAATAGGCGTGCCTGCACCTGCAGACTTTCCTGGGTAAAAGAAATCTTGGTCTAGGCTGTCTTCCCATTTGTTCAGTACAAAGATGAACACTGGGAAGTGGTTTTGCAGCGTTGTCTGTAAACAGCTCCTCTGGGAGAATGCTGCCAGTTCCAGTTTTGCTAGGGAGGAGCAGAGCTCAAACGCTTATCGCTCAGACTTGCTGTGCCGTAGGGGGGGGGGGGGTGTTGGGGGGTGGAGATGGAGGAGCAGGAGGGGTCCCTGTGCTGGGGCCTGCTGCAGAGGCTGACACGAGGAGGAGAGATGGCAGGAGACGTGCAGAGGGAGGGGTCAAGGGAAGGACAGGGCTTGCACTGGGTACGGCAGCGAGGTTATTTCTGGTGCTGCATGCACATTGTGTTTGTTCCCGTTTTCAGGCTGTTTTGTTTGCGAGATTTGTTTGGTTTGTTCTGCTCCTCGTCTTTGCAAATGTCACAAGGACAAGATCATGGTGGGAGAGAAGCCTCCATGTAAGGATGTTTGGACGAGAAATCTGAACATGAGGGTGACCTGGGAGTCAAGGTCAGGCAGGTCATTCTGCACAAAGGGGCAGCAGTAGAAACTCTCTAAGGCAGTGTGAAAATGGTGAAATCAGGAAAAGCATCGAGGAGCAGGGTACTGGCAGTACACGCAGAAAGGTAGGGGTGAGGTGATGGTACCAGACTCTGAAGGCACCGTGACACTAGCTGAAATAGAATGAAATAAGAGCGTGCTAATGACAATGGAGAACGCGAGGCAGAGATCAGATCCTGGGGGAGGAGATCCCAGTATTCACCCTAGACAGTGCCAAATTAAAGTCAAGCTTTTGGCTTCAAGAGCACATGAGGTGAATCAGAGGAGGAATCTGTATGATTAAGCAGCAGCTGAGTGCCAGAAGTGAAAAGCTGTCAAGGATAATATCAGGAGGGTATGTGAGGAGGACAGTGTATTTATTTGCCATGGTAGAAAAGGATCTGAAAGGGAATACAAGAAGCTTGTACTGAATCTGAGTTGGCAGCAAGAGAACTTGGGAAGGGTGCCAGGAAAAGTGTCACAGATACAAGGCTTCTGAAGTGAGAAAGGAATACGGAGTACAGAGGCAGCTTCAGCAGCCAGGTGGTTAGGACTGGGCATGGAGGGTAGGAGGGCACAGACAGCCACCTAGCAGGAAGTGATCTGGGGAGGGAATGACCAAGCAAAAGCCCTGGGAAGTTGGTGCAGAAGGTTCAAAGTTTTGTTCTTTATCTTTAAGGCATTCAAGGGCCTTGGCTCAGCATATCAGAAAGATCACCGAAATCTCCGGGATGATGATGATGGTGGCACTTCTGATGGCTCCTTGGGCAAAACAGAACTTTTACTGTAAGGGTGAGATTCATCTGTGCCAGCCAGACTCAGCATTTTCCCAGGGGCCTGCTAGGAAACCTCCAGAGGAGCTCAAAACCACCATCAATCTTTCCCCTTCTCCTTTCCCCATCCAGGAGCAGAGTGATCTGCTTTTTCCTAGTTTAAACACACAAATCTGTAGGAAGGAAAACATTTATACTGTTGGCTTTAAAAAAAAAAAAAAAAAACAACAAACCCAACAAACCTGAAAATCTTACTGAAATAGATCCTGCACACAAAGCACTCCCCACTGAGAGGGTGAGAATGGATGAAATGAGATGGATGTTACTTACGGTCTTAACTACTAGAAGAAGTATCAGGCAATGATGAAGGAGCTATGGAAACATTGTGAAACAGGAAAAGATAAAGAGAAAAAACAAATTAAGGAAGCCTGCATGTTTAGAAGACAGAGCATACCAAAGAGGATGGTGAGGCTGACTTGAATTGAAGAGGCAAGATCAGTACATATACATCATTCTGAGAGCCAGCACGCAAAAACAATGCATCGGTCTCCCAGCTGAAGTGAACGGGATTATCCATATGCATAAGGAATATTGAGAGTCTGGGTTTGAAAGCCCTGAAGTTGTTAGATCTACTGCTGACACAGTTCTGGAGCTTTACTTGGCTTCCACTCCACCACAACATAAATAAATAGTATGTATAACAGCATATAATACTTCGCAGTAGATTAGGCTACTCCTTCCGCCCCGTTACTACCTCATGATTTGCGATTGCAGTGCAATGTCCCAGCACATCCTGATAGGAAAATGCAAATGTTGCATTTCCGCGGCATGGCCTGACAATTTGCATTTATCTCCCACAAACAGATAACACCATATGTATGCTGATGGAATGTGGTTGCTACAAACTTGTTAAAATAGAGACATATACCTTGGCATGTGGAACTTGGATGAAAATAAGATTTTTCTTGCTCCACTGCTGTTATGACCAGCTGCACTGCCTTCAGCAAATGCACAGAGCAAGAGAGGGCTCAGCAGTCGTGGCCTGTGGCCACTGAAAGTAACCAGAATTGCTGCTCTGGTGCTGGCTGAGTGTCAGTTCATGAGAGCTCATGTAGTTAAATGAATTGCAGCAGGCATCACCACCATAATGCAAGAGGGACCTAGAACAGAAACCAGTGGAAGAAGTTACAAGGTGGTTGCTTCAGGTCTCTTGTCACATAAAAAGAGTGTGATGACCTACTTGGCACCCCAGTTCATCGCATTGATTTAGCTCTCATTTCTGCAAATTACCCATCAGCAAGTCATGGTTTACATAATCTGTTTTCTGCTTGTAATTACCCTAAATGGTTTAAGAAAGGAAATTTTAGGTCTTGAAGTATTCAAGAAAGAAAATACTTGCTTTAAAAGTTCTAGGTTTCTTTGCCATTCATCCTGAAAAAAGCTATTGAAAAATTTGGCCCATTTAGCAGGAGAAGGCCCAGAACTGCTGAGATATTTGAGAGCATGAGGGCAGGCTACAGTATGTTACTAGAGGTGCACACACAAAGAAGTATTCATAGCCCCTGCTAAAAGCATACCTAGTGCCAGCCTTTCACCAGCAGCGTGTTCCTTGTGAGGCTCCAAGAGAGGTTCAGCACATGGAGTGACTTTAGTTCTGCTGTGTGATTTCTGCACTGCTTCACCCTGAGGTAAGGTTTACGACAGGTTAACGTCCAGCTGTTTACCAGAGCCTGGTGCCTGTGGTGTATTTTAGCTGCCTGGCAGCTTGTCTCTAGGGAAGAGTGGGAGGTCAGCAGTTCAGAGGCAGGCAGAGAAGTGTCCTGATGTGCAAAGCAAAGTACTGCTGAGGACCGAGTCCACCCTGTCTTCCTTTGCTGACAGCAGCAGGCCTAGTCAGGAGAGCTGGCGAACTTGACCCATACAGAAAAGAGATGATTGTGAAATTGGAAGGCATTTCCCTGTCACTGTAGAGTCACTAAAGGGAGCAACCATATTTTCTTCCCGTTTAAGTAATATTTCACCAGTAGCCCTGCACCCATCTCTCGTGAAACTGCAGCAACAATTTTCAAGCCATGTTGGCAAGCCATGGTGATAAAATTTGCCCAAGCTTTTTTATGGTCTGAAATAAAGAGGCTTCCAAGCAGGCACAGGGCTGGCTGTGCTGAGCCTGGGCTCTCTGCAGGATCCTGTAGTGCCAGAGGCTGCATAAGGCTGGACTGAGAGGAGACACAGCCAAGGCCTCCTTTGCTGAAAGCCCACTGAGGCTGCAGCCACAGAGCTACAAGTGAGGGCACAGTGGAAGATTCCCCAGGTATGTCACAGGGATAAAATTGCTCCCCAGGGAATCTGGAACAGCAAGGTACAACTTTCATCAGTACATATGGAAGACTGAACCTTGCTGGGAAGTCAGGCTTGAACTGGGGTTTCATTGGAGTGACTAAGAGGGTGCTGCCACACTCTCTGGGTCCATCCTGAAGTGCAGTAGCTCATGGCTTAAACTCAAATGTATTCACGTTTCACGCAGGAGTATGCACACCCACATCACACCACACAGGGTATATTTGCAATACATAATTCTCCAATTATGCATAATACTGCAAATAAAATAAAAGTAAATTTATTCCCAGTGGTTGTGGCAAGTGCTTTAGTGATCCTCCATTTCACTGCAGAAACAATTTCATTGCAAAAGAGTTTTCATTTCAAATTGTGATGGTGAAAAGCAACAGAGTCCCCAGCTGCACCAGTAAGAGCAGCAGGCTCCAAGCATGGGGCTGTCACAGGGGATTAGTCATGTTCTTAGCCACAGGAAAGCCAAGAAGAACAAATCTTGCATCCTATGGTTAGCAGGTTCCTTTCACAGTCAGTGTTTTTCTTCCCTGAAGAATACAAGATTACACAAAAATCTGAGCTTCCTGACCTTTACCTGATGGCCTTTCTTTCCAAACATGGGAGAAAATGCTGAGTTTCTGTTTGGCAAGGTGTGCAGAAGGCCTCTAGCTAAACCAAGGAGCTACTGGTGAATGCCTTCTTCCCTCATCAGGGTCTGAGGTGCCTGGCAGCCCACTGGGCCAGGCTGGGAGCAGCTCACCAGGATAGAATCTGTCCCACTGCTCTGGCACTCTTCCTTCTTGCCATCCCTCATCAGGAGGGCACCACACTGAATAGCAGAACCCCCCTTTCTAAGGTCCAAGTCAGATAGGAATCAAAGACTGCGATTTTGGAGTTCTGCACTGTTTTACTTGCTGAGCCATATTTTACAAGCTAAGTGCTTGCAGAATAAAAGTGCTCCCATGCTGCTGTTAGCTCTTTGTGAAATACCCCTTTGAGTATACGTTACAGTATCTTAGTTGATACTGTAGTAGATACTCAGCATAGTAACTTTAAGTGCAACAATGACACAGTCACGTAAATGGAGGATCAGCACTTCCTGCTGGGGATACAAGTCACATTCCCCACCCCAAGATTAAAGGCATATTAAATATTTATATAGCTGTCACGTATAGAGGCCCCATCAGGATTAAGGTCCACAGTACTTGTGCTCTAAAAACTTATGATAAGAACCAGTCCCTGCCCTAAAAGAATGCAGCCCCAGCTCAGGCTTACCTGCTGCCTGGGTGGTGGTTTGCCTGAGCTGTTGCCCCAGTTTCATAAACTTTGTGCTTGTGGAAAGTCCAGTTATCAGTGGTACTAAAGGGGTGGAGGTTTTGTTTTAATGCTGAATTCTGGCCCCTGTTTATTTTACAGATGAGCACCCTTCACTAAAAATGCCTGACTTTTGTGAGATGCACTATTCCTGAAGTGGGCAGGATGGGAGCTGGGAAAAAAAAAAAACAAAACACAAAAAAAACAACAAAGCACACAGCACAGGGGATGCTTTCTGCATTGAGAAGTATCTCTTCTCATGGAACAACTTTTCCTGATTACAAGAAGAGGATTTATGGTAGGTAGAAGCAGAGTCCTTGACTGTGGGAGGTCTGCATTCAATTTCTATTTCTCAGACATCCTAGGCAAGTGACTGCTGCTTTCTTGTGCAACTTCTCTGCTATCAAATATTGCTGCTTCTCCCAGGCGTGTTGCAGGCATTAGCAGAGCCAAGCCTGCCTCAGGCGAGCAGCCTGTGTGTGGCAGTGGGATGGGCAGGCTTGCTCACTGCCAGTCATGGAAGTTAACCACTGGTTTCACAACTGGAAGAGGCCTCAGCAGCAGCAGGGCAGGAAGCAGAACTGGTGGCTGGAAGTGACTAAGCCCAGGACTGGGGATGGGGTGAGAAAAGCAGCCTGGCACTGCCTGTACAGGAAATCCTGGAAGCATGTGACCTTCAAGGGAAATGCAGGGATGGGATGTGGACCTCTCACAGTCTGGGACAGCAGTGGCATCAAGAGGACGTGTCTCCTAATACAAGCCTGCCTGTGGGAATACAGCCTTCCAAGTAAATACAGTCTAGTACTCAGCAGTCCAGGAATGAGTATAACATGTTCCTAACCATAATCTTTATCCACATCTGGAAGGTTATCGAATGTCTTCTAGCAACTTAAAGCCCTTGCTCCCCATGGTGCCTGCTGAGCCTGAAGTGGTTAGCTTTAGAACAACAAAGCAAGTGAGGCCAAGCTCACCGTTACCTCCAGCCTGACTTGTGGCTCATAGCACGCCATGGGAAAATCCTTACGTGAGGCTCTGGGCATAAAGCTCAATGATACAGAGCTGCAGGTAGAGCACATCACTGCAGGCCAAACTGCAGAGGAGTAAACCAAGCACAATACCTGCTGCTATTGCTGCATTTGTGCCTTTCTTTCTGTTGCTGCTTCCCATGACCTGCTTATTTATGTGCACATTCCTGTACATTATCGTGCTGCAGCACAGTGCATTAAGGAGTGCTCGGGCATTTGTGCCAGCGTATTGGCTGGAACTTCATTAGCCTCTGGGGATCTGCATGTGAGATGAGTTTAGGTCTGTAATAATCTGTTCATAGGCTGCTGCCTCACACTCTGCATGCATTTTCAGTGGTACACAAATTGCCTGGTTTGATTTGCTTTGATTAACAGGTTACCCCAGAAATCCCAGCATGGTGAGCTCTTCCCCTTGAGCACAGAGCAGAGGGCTGCTCTGAACAGCTCTGCTGACCTTTGTCCCCCTGAGAAGGATGTTCATCCCAGTGAGATAACGGCAGCCCTTTTGGCCTGTTCCAGGAACTGGCTGTCACAGTCCTTGCTGGACCACATCTGCACAGCTGTATTTTTGAGAGGCACTCTGAGGGCACTGTGCCAGGGAACTGGTGTGGTGCACTGAGAGCCTTTACCTGGCTGAAAGCAAGCTCTACAGAGTGATGCCATGCCATGCATGCTGCTGCTCTGCATTCCCAGCACTGCCTGTGCTCCCTGCCAACCATGAATGTCAAAGTGCCCGGAGCTGCCATTTTCTTTATTTTAAGGATGGCAGTGACTAGCATTTAGGTGTCACCTTTCAGAGCTCTTAAAAATAGAAGTTTAAAAATGGCTTCATGTAATCCTTACTACCTTCCTGGCTTAGAGGCTGAGAGGAAGACACCAGCCACATTAGCAATTAGAGTGTTTTGGAGCTCTGGTCCAGAGAGAAGCATAATTACAAGTTTTTTGCCCAGAACCTTTTTCCTTCACAAGCTACACAAAAAGTGGAACAACAGAACAATTCACATTTCACAGCAAAACAGAGATGGGTTGCTCAGACAGTGGCAGACCTGGAAGAGGATCTGGATCCAGAGATCCAGAGATCCAGATCCTTCAGTTCATTTCAGCCTATTTTGGTATGGGTTTCTTGCCTTGCAATAAATGTATGATCAATAAACGATAATTCTGTCAAGGTGTTAAAGGTAATTAGACATACAAGAGTCATCATTTATGTTTTCAAAGATTTAAAGATCCCTGCAGAATGACTGCCTTCTGCCAGTTCTCCTTTACAAGGATCAGAAAATACTCCCATTCCTGATTTCTTGAAAACCAGCATTTCCCAGCTGTATGTATCATCAGTAAATCAAATAGAGACAAATCTTGTCTCTCATTTCCAGTTAAGCCTGTCATGTTATATGGCACTACATAATATCTCAAGAAACCAATGCAGCTGATCTGACATGTCATTACTGCAAAAGGAAATGAAACAAATGAGGATTTATGAAAGAAGGCCCAGTTTTGGCACCAGTCATGGACTTCCTGGCTAACTGCTAATACCAAAGTGCAGATCATCTATTTTATGTTAGCAAAGGGAAATCCCAGTAATTCATACCACAGCATTGAAGCACAGGATTCTAAAAATAGCATTAAAGAGCTGGACTGGAAACAACAATAAAAATGAAAACTAAAACCTTGTCTTTTTGCTTGCTTACTTTCTTGAAAATAAGAATGTTAAATTCAATCCCAAGAGCTAATTTCAAAATGATAAGGCCTAAAAGGCAAGATGAGAATATCAGAATAGCCAGATGGCCCATGTGGGACGGCCACAGGAGCCTCTTCTCCCTGTTTGGCATGGCTTCTGCTGCAGACGTGTCCTTGGTAGATGGCAAGGTAGACGAGGTAAACAAGGCTGCTCTCCGCTGATTTGGGAAGTGAGGACAAGCAGGGAGAGGACTGATGTGCCACAGACAGTCAGGGGATAAAGATGACACCCCTAGACTCTTTCTCCCTGGGTTTTCTCATGGATCTCCCTGTCCTCCCACTCAATTTCCTCCAGAGGTCTGACTCTCTCCTTCCTCTATACCCAAATGTATTCACTGTCTCCCACCATTTTTGGCATCCCTGTGCTCAGCCTTTGCTTTGCACCAGCTGACACACTAATTAGAGCTTTTACCAAGCTAAATCAGTGTACTACAGATGAGAATGGAAGTAAGCTCCAGCCAGGGCATGGCACAATTTAAAGTAACTGGGTTTCAAAACTGAATTAATGAGATCTATGCAATTCCTCCAGAGCCGATGTTTAGCCTGTGCGTTATTTGGAGGAAGCACAATGCTGCAGGAAAGGACAGAGAGTACTGGGGTAGTTCTGAGACTTTCCAGGTCTCCAAGAATTCCCCACAAATACAGCTTTCTTTCATTTAAAAAAAAAAGTACTGAGTTGAATTTAGTAGGGTTATATACTGCCTCATGTTCCCCTTCTGCAGCTGGGTGTTCTGCAAGGGGGCAGTGGGAAGGCATCACATAGCAGAAGATAACACATTACAAGCTGGCGAACAGCAATGGGAGGCAGTTTGTGGTGGGATTCCAGCTAGATGAAAAGATTGCTACTGCACAGGGATATTTTTCTATTTAAATCTTGCATTTGCTTAGTATTTTCAAAACTTGCTTTTTTAAAAAGGAGGGTGGTTTCCCAGCCTCCATGTGCTTTATTGTGGTTTCATCATTCCTTTTCAACTGTGTTAATTTTTCCCATGATCCCGATAATTAATCTACATTGATACATGCTGAATTCAGATGCTTCACTGTTTGACCTGCAAATTCATAGTGTTTGTTCGAATACAACGCAGGTCTCTCACTCCAGGGTGCTGGGGGTGTATGGTAATACAATACAGGGCTGAGGAACAGCTTCACTGCTGAACTTGCCTCCTCTTACAGTTACATTCCCTCAAATCCACAGGGAGAGAAAGAAACAGGGAAGAATCTTTTCATGCTGAGGGCCCTTCAGATACCGTTGGGAGACCACACATAAAAACACATCTAATGTTATCCCACCATTAACGTGGGAAAAATCAAGCATCCTTCGCCCATAGAAATGATGTCAGGGGCTGCAGGTTTCTCATAGTTGTCTTAAATATGCAGTGTCTTTAAAAATACCATCTCAGGTTGTTTGAGGGTAGGTGGGACTCACAGCATTGTCCCAGGAGATGAGCAATCCTTGTAGCATAATTGTCCCAAGGAGATCCTCTGGGTGCTCTTCTACATGTGACTCCCTTTACAAGCGCCTCTTCTTTGACAGGTTGAGAAATAAATGTTTATGAGAATTTCTAGTGTTTTTCCCTCAGAAACAGTTTCTCAGGGAATTATACTGTCTGAGTGGAAAAGGTCAGGCCCATGGAGTGGAGTATTTATACAGCTGGCTGATCACATTGCCTTTGTATAGTTTTTCCAGAGGTCTAGTTATACATGGACCTACAAATTCATTCTCAAACCTGACTCGTTAAAATTCATTAAGTAAGCACTTTGGTATGGCAATATCTAGGATTACTTTTCCATATTTTTAGCATTCTTGCTGTTCCATAAAATTTATCAACTCAGAACGAAAGCTGCAGAAAGAGCGAGCTAGTAAGGTCCTCCTGTAAGGGTCTGTTCTCTGTTGGGTGTGCATATACGACTCCCATTAGTGTTAACTGGCCTTACAGAGGCACAGTAAAACCAAAATGTATACTGGAAGACCGAAAAATCTACATAATTTGTCCAGACATGTAATGATCCCTTGTTCCACAGTTGGGGTTGGTGACATCTGCCTTCAAAAGCCTCCATATAGGTTACAGATGAAAAGATGGCCAAATAAATTCAGTCATGATTTAATACAAGAAAAATAAAACCCAAACCCACTACTAGCACTCTGTATCAGGAGAGTGCTTAGTGTCCTCTTAACTTTCAGCACGTATCAGAACTGTAAATAAGATTTAAGTACATTTTTGACTCAGACCTACACAACTGATGAAATCAGAAACTAATCTCAGCTGCTGATGCAGAATGCTGGAGGGCGTTGGAGTCCTGCACTCTTTGTACCCGCTGGGTTGCATGCAGGCCAAGATGGACAGCTAGAGCCAGGCTGCTCCAGGGCGAGAGAGGAGGGAGCACGATGTCAAGAGCTATGAGGAAGGTTCATCACTGACATGGCACTACCCCGTCACTGTCCCTGTGGCCTTGTGCCACCAGCATAGCTAATCAGTGCAACCTGTTGCCATGACCCAGCTAATCCCCACTCTGTGCTCACGCATCTCTTCCATCTGCACTGGCTGCCCTAAGCTGGACTCTGAGCCTCTTAGGGAAATGATGATCTTACCCGTTTGCTCACTGCCTTCCGCTGCAGACTTGCTGTCCTCTGGTTGTCACCGTAATACCACTCTTTTCAGTTGCTATTCCTACCTGACAACCTTCCTAGGCTTTCCTGTCCTTCCTCCTCAAGAATTGCTGCCATGCAGTCCCTTCACCATAAACATGACAGCAGTTACTTTGTGTGCATGGCTGTAGGACTGAACAGCAGCTGAGACCTTACTGCTGGATGGGCATGGAGCCTTCACAAGACCTTGCAGCCTCCCCATCCCTCTACTCAAAAGGGCCGGATCCCAGAAAGTTGTTGATTTTCACCTTTTACTTCAGCACTAGAGGAGGACTAACTAGGGCCTTCAGACCCAGCCAGGGGATCGTCAGTGCTGCTAGGAGGTGACTGGAGCTGAACCAAGCTGTAGCTTTCATTACCTGGCATTTGTCCATGTGGGAAGTAGCTGGAAGAGACAATATTCTGCTCCGCGCTGTCAGAGGGGCATGAGAAATCATAGAATCATGGAATGTTTCGGATTGGAAGGGACCTTAAAGATAACACAGTTCCGCCTACCCTTGCCACAGGCAGGGACACCTTCCACTAGGTGAGGTTGCTCAAAGCCCCATCCAACCTGGCCAGGGAAGGGATCAACACTTTGATCTTCAAGGGACAAGACAACACAGTGTTTCATTAGAAACCTCATGTGCAAGCAGTATCATTTAATAGAACAGGATTCTGATGCTACCTATTGAACAGAAAATGGAGGGGCTATAATCCAGCAGTGTGTGAAGCTGGGCTCATAATGTGCTGTAAACTCCCCCAGTTAGAGCACATAGATGCAGCACTGCAAGGTCTGCCCACATTGCAGCTACCTGCTAAAGCAGTTCATGCTCAAGCAGACCTGTACTCATGATACATGCAAAACTTGAGCCATTACATGAAATCCACACCAAAATTTTGTTCTTGGATAAGGCACATATAAAATCAATCAGTGTTTTTTTCAGGAGGGTGGGGTGTTGTTATTATTGAAACTACACAGCAACGAGAGGCATTTCCCTGCAACTAATGCATTATTTCCTCTGCCCTCTAATCCCACCAGCTCCTGCTGAAGGATGTCAGCAGTGGACATGGTGCTGAATTACCCTGCGTCAGACTCATACAGGAAATCGTTAAAATTCACTGTCGTTAAAAGGTCAAGTAGTGTGGAGGTGTCCTGACCAGCTGAGCGAGGCGCTCTGAGCGCTGGAGAGGAGCTGGGGCTGTGCGTATGGCCCCGGAGCTGTCATGCTGCCAGCCTCCCGCACACACATCTTGCTGACCCAGTCGATTGCATCACTCGGCCTCCTGAGGCAGAATCTGCATTTTTCCATATGGGTCCATATGGTACATTAAATTGAATAATGAATTTATATTTCCGGAGGAGAGTTCTCCCAGCTAAGTAGTGATTCTGGGAATTCTGGAGAGGGACACCAGCTGAGGCTTGGGAAGAAAGTCTGTGACAAGCAGAGGGAAAGACCAAAGGGTTTCCTTCTCACTCCTGCTAGAAGGGTGGCAGGCTCATGTATACACATCTGTGTTCCTGGGCGTTTTCCAGCTGCTTTTTGGAGAATGGTAGACAGGAAATTGATGCCACAGGGCAAATATTCATTCTTCCAGACTTCCCTCCCAAAGCAAGCACAGATTTGCCCTGGCTAGACTCATTTCCTTGCAGAGCACCATGGCTTCCCCCAGCAGCATCCACAGCAGCACTTTAGAGCATGGCTAAAATTTTTAAAATGTATACAAGTGTGGAAAAACAAATAAACAAAAGCCTGCCAGATGTTTGCAACACAAACCTAAGGAACACAGAGCTCACAGGAGAAGCTCTTTCTCATATTGGACTTCCAAGACAGGCTGGAGGAGCTGCCAAGCTTGTAGCTGAAGCAGGAGTGGGCAATTTTGATGCTCCATCTCTTAGAGTCAGATAGATGTACTACTGTGCTTTCTGTATTTGTGTCCTGAAGTCACCCATTGCAAGCAGAGATTGGAGGTGATGATAATTTCAATTGCTGGAGGCATCAAGGTGTCTTGTGGCTGCAGCTGTGTTCCTCTGTGCCTCACCACACTCCCAGCCTCTCAGCCAAGATGACACAGTAAGCTTGAACTGAACTTTGTGCTTCTGGGCTGTGGGGCTGACCAGCTCTGCAGGGGAGCTCGGCTTTGCTGGCCCCTGCTTGTACCTTATTACTGTTCTCCCCAGGTTTGCTTGTAATCCTAAGTAAGTCCGTCGCCCTGTTAGGCTCTGGCCAGCAGGCAACCTCTCCTGTGAAGCGGAGTTAATGGCTAAGAACAACCTATTGTACATTTAGTCATGCTTACTTCAGCTGTTACTGCACTTTTGAAGTGTTATCAGTGGAAAAGCATTTATTGAGAGCTCTTGCAGCTTTTGGTACAGCCCCTCGTGAGAAGCTCTTAGCAAAGCACGCAGGCTGTAGGGGAGAGGTAAAGCCTGGCTGCCAAATAAGTGCTGTGTGCGTGAGAGAGAGAGGGAAAGAAAAAGAGAAACAGCTATGTACCACCCTGGAAAGAGCAGCCAGGCTGATGACAGAATTTCCTCACATTTCTGTATGGCTCAACCTAGAAGATGAAGTGAAGAGCAAGGCAACAAATTCTGTCTGTACTGCAAGCAATTCAGCAAGAGCTTGGCAGGACTGCAGCAGGGTAGCTCACTGAGCAATACGCCAGCGCGTGAAGTGCCGGGAAGACACAGGCAAGACCCTGTGTATCAGAAGGAACAATCTGAACAGTTCACACACTGAGTGTTCATGTTTTAACAGCCTCCACAAGTAGAAATAGGGACATGTGGGGAGAGCAGATGAACTCCACGTGGTGTCAAGTGAGCCTGAAATGAGAGCCGTGTCTCTGGCTATTGCAGCCCCTTGCTGAGGCCAGTGATTAAGTTTATTTACATTCTGGCTCCTGGTGAGGAGGCTTGTGGGCACA